TGCAAGTAGTCTTAATATAACTAACTGCTTTTGTATGTGGAGGTACAAATATGGGAGACCAATGGCAATGGGAAGCAAGTATGGCACCCTGGTTCTGAGACAAATGAGCAACTGATGCCTTCCCACTCCAGTAATCGAGAAACCATACGGGAAAAAAATCGGAATGGCAATTAAAAACATCCATAATCGGTCATGTATACTTAGCTAGGAGAGGCCCAATTTTTAAAACACCCATAGGTGAGCTGACGTGTCTAGGGCAGAAAGCATATAATGTTAGTAGCCATAATACTACCTGGTGGTCAGCTTCTAATGTCTCAGAACCTTTTGTTAAATACACCAATTTAAGAGATGTATGGTTTGATTTATCGGCTACATCTAACTGGAGAGCCTCAGAAAATTTATACTGGATTTGTGGTAAGAAGGCGTATTCAGAATTACCACAAGACTGGGCGTGGGCATGTGTGCTAGGTATGCTCAAACCATCCTTCTTCTTGTTACCAATCCAAACAGGAGAGACCTTGGGAGTTAAGGTCTATGATGTAAACCATAGGAAGAAGCGAGCACCATTAAATATAGGTAATTGGGAAGAAGATGAATGGCCACCCCAGCAAATTATTATCTATATAATATAGAATTCACACTATGACAACTTCAAACAGTCAATATAATCTGACTTTATTATGTACAAAAAGTACTATAGTGAAAAATAAGACAATAAATAAATACAATAACAGAAGCAAAGGTATGTCTTTGGGCCCTGTTCCCACCCACACACATCTGGGCCGGTGGGGGATATTCTGGTCCCCACTGGAGTGATGACCTAATCTCTGCTGAGAGACCTTGCTAACGAATTATCGCCTACGAGGAGCACATTAATCAGGCCTTTGAGCCTACGCCAACAAGTGAAGAGAACTAAATTGACTGGAGGTTCCCAGCCTACCACTCCTGTAAAAAGCTACAAACTACAGCCTGCTCTAAGAGGGCCTTCCATGGCATTGCCAGTAAGGAGATGGAAAAATAAGCTGTAGCGGGCTCTCCAGTACAGAGGGCCCAGTTTTAGTCAACACTTACCGGCCCTCAACGCGGACAGGGAAATCTCCCTAGGCACAGCTCACGTCTTTGGCATCCCCACAATCTACACAGATGACTGCATTCTGGGGGGGAAATCATGAGATCTTGCTCTTGTTGCTGAGTGTAATTGGACCTGTGAGAAAAGTAAGCTAGATTGTACTTATGTCTGGGGCTGGTGGGCCACACTTTTTAGAACTTATTTAGAATTTATTTTAGAAAATATTACTTGATGGGTATTGGCTGAGCTTCTTTTTCAGCAGTAGAGCCTATATTTTGCTTTTCAGTTTATAATGAGCAGCTGTTCTGCTTTTATTTTACTATTAGTACCTAGTGGCATTATTATTTACTATTAGCTTGTTAGCAAATATAGGCAGTTAGTCTTTTCATGTTCAATTTGTAGCGGAGAGCTGATTTCCCACAACTTAACTCCACCAAATACTTTAAGAGGATGCAGGAACAAGTAATAAATCCAAGAGAATATCCAGCACAATCAGCAATACAATCCAATAATATCCCATCACTTTCCCCAATCACTGGACGACACACAGGAGTAGAACTAACTTTTAATGGCAGCATTCCTGCTTTTATGAGATTCTCCCATGCAAGGGAGGGATTCACCACAATTAGTATTTTACCCAATAACAGCGACGTTACCTCCCACAGATCTCCTCCCCTTAGATTAGCCTTTAATCCCATTATATACAGCACATTTTACCCCACTTTTCGGATGTACCCCAAATAGGTGGAATATGCCCCTGGTAGCCCTGATCTGGGTGAGAAACATATCCAAAAATCACCCAGATCAGACCAGGGGTTCGGGAGTTATGGGGAGGTAAGGTTTTGACCGACCGCATGGGCAAAGTAGCCGAAAATAGTTCCATGAAATCTGGCCCTGCGGTCAGTCTCCATTCGTGCCCCAAAAGTCCCGAATGGCTATAGCATCCATAGTGCATTCGGTAACCGGATGAATCCCCTAGTTCGTGGGATTCATCCTACTGAACGCCGGGCCGTTCGTGGGTTTCCATCCGTGCCTTCTGAAGCCCTGGAGGTCTTAGCAGTGTTCGGCTAGTCGAGTGTCCGTTTTCAGTTCCAGACACTCGACGACCAAACACCGCTGTTCGCGGATTTAAGATGGCGGCCGCCACGTGTTCTGCTGCCGAAATGGCGGAGGGTTCATGCGTACAGGGGAATGAAATGCAAGCAGGGAGGTAAATTAGATCCATTATACACATCAGGGTGGTCCGGTTCATTCTGTACTTTGTTCGTATGGTGAATTTTAGTGGTTCACATGTCAGCTGTTATTCCCATACCGAACAAAGTATGTCCATAGCTAGTCACTAAGAGTTTTGGGTACTTTAGGCACAGGAAAATCTCCGCAGGGCCAACAATTAATAAAAGGAATAGGACAGCCAAAAGGGGTTCCGCTACACAACTCACCCAGGACATACTTGAAAACAAGAGAAATCTCTATATATCCTTCCTGGTAAAATATTTTATAAATAAATAATTCCTGTTGAGTTTGCAACCAGTTCATAGATCATGCTTTATTTTAGTTTAATTTCTTTAGTTACAATCTACAAGCACTGTGTTCTTTTGGTCTTTATTTTTTTTTTTAAATGTGCACTTTCACGTATGTATGAGGTTTGAAGGATATATTTTTGTATACCAGTTACATAGTTAAATAGCTGAAAAGAGACTTGCGTCCATCAAGTTCAGCCTTCCTCACATATGTTTTTCCTGTTGATCCAAAAGAAGGCAAAAAACCCAGTTTGAAGCACTTCCAATTTTGCAACAAACTAGGAAAAATTCCTTCTTGACCCCAAAATGGCACTCAGATATCTCCTTGGATCAAGCAGCTATTACCCCACTAATTAGAAATTATATCCCTGTATGTTATGTTTTTGCAAGCATTTATCTAATTTCTGTTTAAACATCTGTATGGACTCTGATAAAACTGCCTCTTCAGGCAGAGAATTCCACATCCTTATAGTTCTTACTGTAAAAAAACACAAAAAACTTTTCTTTGCCTTAGACTAAATCTCCTTTCTTCCAGCCTAAATGCGTGGCCTCGTGTCCTCTGTATAGCCCTGTTTATGAACAGATTTCCAGATAATGGTTTTTATTGGCCACAAATCTATTTGTATAATGTTATCATATCCCCTCTGAGGCACTGTTTTTCCAAACTATAGAGATTTTATTTTATTAACCTTTCTTCATAACTAAAATGCTCCAATATTTTGATCAATTTTGTAGCTCGTCTCTTCACTTCTGGTGCCATGATATCCTTCTTTAGAGCAGGTGCTCAAAATTGCACAGAATATTCAAGGTGTGGACTTACCAGCGATTTATAAAGAGGCAAAATTATATTTTCATCCCGAGAATTAATGCCCCTATTTATAAATGACAATACCTTACTGGCCTTAACAACTGTCAATTGACATTGCATATTGTTGCCTAGTTTATTGTCTATATTAATTCCCAAATCCTTCTCATTTGTTGCTATCCCCAATTCACTACCATTTAGAGTGTAATTTGCTTGTGCATTCTTTACCCTGCAGTGCATAACTTTGAATTTGTCCATATTAAACTTCATCTGCCATTTTAGTGTTTAGTCTTCCAATCTCTCTCTCTCTGCAGCAAAGCAATATCCTTCTCACATTTTATTAATTCACAAAGTTTTGTGTCATCTGCAAACACTAAAACATGGCTTTCAATGCCTTTTTATAAATATGTTAAATAGAAGTGTTACCAAAACAGAACCCTGAGGGTCACCACTTACTACTTTTGTCCAGCTTGAAAATTTACCATCAATGACAACTTGTTATACTCTATCCTTAAAGGGTAGGTCTGAGTGTTGTGACTCTTTTGCACTTAGTGCTGCAATGTTTACATTGCAGCTCTAAGTCTGCCCCCAGAATCCTAACGGACTTTTGGTCCGTTATCTGACTCTGGACGTCCTCACGGACCTCCAGCGTCAGATTTTCTCCATAGGAAAGCATTGAATAATGCTTTCCTATGGGGAGGTCTAATGCGTGCACTGCCATTGCGCTGACGTTGGTGGGGGGAGGAGCGTGAACGGAGCCTGACCCAGCGCCGAAGGACATCGGCACTGGATTCAGGTAAGTGACTGAATTTTTTTAACCCCTTCAGCTCCACGGGAGGGGAGGACTTATTAACCCTATAGTGCCAGGAAAACGGCTTTGTTTTCCTGGCACTATAGGTTCCCTTTAAGCCAATGTTCTACCCAAGAACAATAAAATTAATCTAGACCAATTTATTTTAGTCTTTCATATACTGATGAAAATCCTGCTGTTTTGATGATATCATTGATGTAAATCCATGTAAAAAATAAAAAATCCTGATGTGACCTGGAATGGACGTATAGTCATCTAAATGGGTACACTTATACCAATTGTGTACTCATGGCTGCACTAAATAACTGCTGGCTGAAGGATGCTAAAATATCTTGCTGAAGTGCTTCATTCGTGAACAGTGTATCCTATTTTTTCAGGGCAGATTGCAATAGAAATTTACACTTTCATAAATTAACCTTGTTACACCCCCCTGGCTGTCAGCCAGACAACAGGTCCTGTTATTTCCTGGTTTGATTAGCTTAGTTGAGCTAAACTGAAGAGACAGCATTGGCCTGCACTGGGAGGTCTGTGATTGGACAGCCACAAAAAGTCTGGACTTGCGTGGGCAGCAGACAAGAAAACTGCAGGTTTTTAGATTAAAAAAATGCATAATTGAATGCATGTAAGTTTTCATTTGGGATATATGTACTAAACAGTGATTTAAAAAAAAAAATATTTTGTATTTGGGCAGCATAGTGTCACTTTTAACATACCAATGCAAATTTTGAATGATCTGCTTCCATATTTGTGTTGTTGGCATAAAAAAAAAAAACATGAAACACACAAAACACTGTAAAATGTTCTATCATACTTAAGTTTTATTTAACAGACATCTTTACAAACTAAACAAAACAGGAACAAGTCAGTATTAACCAATTAACTGAATGCCCCATAATCACTTTCCTCCTGGAATAATGCAAATCATGCCAAAAACGTAGATCTCACATTCAGTGCATGTCACCTCTGATATCACAGGGGTATAAAAATGGCCACACATGACAACATTGTAATGGAATAATTTTAAGCATTAAACAAATTAAACTATGCATATTTAATGCACTACTGGCTGTGTTTTAATTCAGCAAATATCAACATGTCAAGTTTACCTCATAATTATTATTAATATATTATTATATTAATAATAGTTTTTTGCCTTTCAATCATTGATTGAAATTCCCAAACGTGTTGGACATCATTGTGTGGCACTCAAAGCATAGCAACCATGATCTAAATGCTAATTTTAAAATATGTACTGCTTTGCCAAAGTCAATTGTAAAAATCAACACGTGCATCCAAGAATTGACATCTTGTCTATCAATGTTTATAGTGCTCCCTGAGCTTAACAGGAAGCGGCCATGTTTGACACAGCTGAATAAAAAAAAAAGTTTTACGGTCACAGCAAAAGGCACAGCCCATAATAGTAAGGTTTAATACTGATGGTATAACCTGTATGAGTATTGGAAGAAGAAGTGTGGCACGATAGGGAGATTATTTTTGGCATGTTTGAGAAAAAGAACCTGAATCCAAACAATTGTATAACAAAGAATAGTTGTAAAAGGCTTGTGTCTGGTCCTTAGGCTCTATCATAGTGACGTGTGCTGACCACCTCTCCAAAGGTTAGAGTCTGAAAAAGAGAAGTGTACAAGCTCAATGTAACAGTTTACAAATAAATAATAACACAGCATCATTATAAATATCATGGATCAAAGTTAAAACTTGTACTCATTACATCAAATGAGCTTCTATAGCATTTATGTTTTCATTATGGTATGTTTTCAGTTTGGTATGTCAGTATGTGAAGGCAGAGGTGTATGTATGCAGAGTGTCGGTGTGTTTACAAATGCAGAAATATACGTGTAGATGAATGTCCAGTGTGTTTATGAATGCAGAAGCATATGTACAGGGTTTATCCACTATACCAGCGATGGTGAACCCTTTCTTTGGGCACGCAGTCATAGGTCATGGGGCACCACTGGCGCTGGTCGGCAGCCTTAGGACCCCCGGCGGCAATGCAGAATAGGCACCTGCCTGCCCAAAACGACAGGCGCCTACTCTGCTTTCGTATCGTTGGGATGGAGGGCTGCGAGGGAGCACTGTCTTAAAGGACCACTATAGTGCCAGGAAAACATACTCATTTTCCTGGCACTATAGTGCCCTGAGGGTGCCCCCACTCTCAGGGTCCCCCTCCTGCCCGGCTCTGGAAGGGGGAAAGGGGTTTAAACTTACCTTTTTCCAGCGCTGGGCGGGGAGCTCTCCTCCTTCTCTCCTCCTCCGTTCCGCCCCGTCGGCTGAATGCGCACGCGCATTCAGCCGGTCGCATAGGAAAGCATTCATAATGCTTTCCTATGGACGCTGGCGTGCTCTCACTGAAAATCACAGTGAGAAGCACGCAAGCGCCTCTAGTGGCTGTCAATGAGACAGCCACTAGAGGCTTTGGGGGAAGGCTTAACCAATTAATAAACATAGCAGTTTCCTGTCTCCTGACGGCATTAGCGGAGGGAACAGTGCTGAAACAGCACTTAAAGGACCACTCTAGGCACCCAGACCACTTCAGCTTAATGAAGTGGTCTGGGTGCCAGGTCCAGCTAGGGTTAACCCATTTTTTAATAAACATAGCAGTTTCAGAGAAACTGCTATGTTTATGAATGGGTTAAGCCTTCCCCTATTTCCTCTAGTGGCTGTCTCATTGACAGCCACTAGAGGCGCTTGCGTGCTTCTCACTGTGATTTTAACAATGAATGCTTTCCTATGTGAGCGGCTGAATGCGCGCGCAGCTCTTGCCGCGTGTGCGCATTCAGCCCAGGAGGAGGAACGGAGGAGGATTGGAGGAGGAGAGCTCCCTGACCAGCGCTGGAAAAAGGTAAGTTTTTACCCCTTTCCCCCTTCCAGAGGCGGGCGGGAGGGGGTCCCTGAGGGTGGGGGCACCCTCAGGGCACTATAGTGCCAGGAAAACGAGTGTTTTCCTGGCACTATAGTGGTCCTTTAAGCTTTTTTACTATATGATTCTCTCTCCTAAATTGTTTTACTCGCTTCAGTCATCCCCCTTGTTATTTTATTCCAATTCTAGCTCCAGGTATCTCACTCTTAATTGCTTTTAGCATTTATTGTGTTCTTTTATGTTTTCTCTGCTTAGGAAGTTTTTTGTACCGTAACTTCCATACCTGTTTTGAGCTATGCTTAGTTGATCAGCCCCCCTTGAATCCATTTATCATTTTTATTAAGTGATTCTGATGGGGGCTGACCGCTGTGCCACTAGTGTTATTTTAATGGGGGCTGACTGCTGTGCCACCAATGTTATTGGGATGAAAGATGACAGCTGTGTCACTATCACTAATGTTTTTATTCTGATGGGGGCTGACCACTGTGCAACCATGTTTTTACTATTTTCTGTAGATTTTGGACTGCCTATGTTAGTAGAGTGTGCCAGTGAAAGTGGTACAGGGATACAGTGCTGCAACTAATGATTAGTTTTAAAATTAATTGGTTGATTGTTTTGATTATTTGATTTATTTTTTTGCAGCATTTAAGCTAAATTGCTCCCATACGTTAAAAGACGCGGGACACTTTTTTGCAGAGGTTGAATCTGGTATGTATCCAACCCAGATTAAATATTTAAAATAAAAAAAAGAATGATTAAAATGGCCTTGATTCAAGCTACCTCTGTCTGCTGTTATTAAAGAGTCACTGTCACATGCCAATTTTTGCAGCCTTAGTGATAAGCCCCACATAAGAAACAGACCAGAAAAAAAAAAATCCTAACCTGTACCAGCCGCCAAAATGAAGCTTCCGGTGCCCTCTCTCTGCATCTAACTTCGTCAAACATAAAGAGAAATTTCACTTATTACCTCACTGTGAGGGTACATGTCACTCACCAGCACACTACGACTGTCAAACCTTGCAGTGTGGTAATAAATGACAAGTACCACAAAAGTGTTGCCGAATTTGGAGAATCTGAGAGGAAAGAGTTTCTTAAGGAGAAATTGAGGAAATATCACTCCCAGTATCGTAGTTTTTCCAACTATCTTTCTAGATCAAATCATCTGACAGTTCCCAGCTTTCAAATTTCACCGTGCTTGGCAAAACATGGTAAGCCTCTCTCTGATGGTGATTTTATCAAAATGGCCATGTTGGCTGGGAGTAGTTCCCATTTTCATGATTTCCCAAACAAATCTAAAATTATGCAACGCATCTCTGAGTTAGCAGAAATATTGTTAAATATCGAGTCCTGCGCATGGGAAGTGATGTTAGTCAGCAGCTCTCCACTGACTTACAAAAGGCAGCCTGTTACTCCATGTGCTTGGATGAAAGCACAGATATAAATAATCATGTAAGGCTAGCAGTAATTTTGCGTTATGCTGTTGGTGACATCATGAGAGAAGAGCTGTTGAAACTGTTGTCCTTGCCTAGAAGAACACATGGAATAGATATTCACAATGCTGTGATGGAGGCTTTTTTGGCACAAGAAATAAGACCAGAAAAAGTGGTTTCAATTTACTATTGACGGAGCACCTTGCTTGGTGGGGGCAACATCTGGTTTCATACAGTTCTTTGTTAAAGAAGCAAAACATCCAGTCATTCGGTTTCATTGTATTATACACCAAGAAGCTCTTTGTGCCAGGGACAGCAGCAAAAAATTAGAAGATATTCTCAAAGATGTCACAAATACGGTGAATTACATCATGGCTCATGCTCTTCATTTTTGACAGTTTCAAGCACTTCTCGATGAGGTACAGGCACAGTATAATACTTTACTTATTTACAATAATGGTGGCTGAGCAGAGGACGAGTCCTGGAGAGATTTGGAGCTTGCTTGAATGAAATTAGGCTGTTTATGAATGAAAAAGGGCAAGAATATCCCCAGCTCACTAATACGGCCTGGCTAACCAACCTTTTTTTTTTTTTTTTTTTACAGATTTTACAGCACACTTCAATGTACTGAACAAAACACTGCAAGGTGTAGGGAAAATAGCAGAAAATATGTTTTGTGATATCAGAATATTTGAGACAAAGCTGCAGGTTTTTGAAAGAGACATTGAAAGTGGGCAAATCTAAAAATACCTTTCGAAAATTCTACAATATTTACAGACAATCCTCCAAGCCATCAGGAAATCCACAAGGAACTTTCTAGCATTGTAGCAGCTGCTGAGGAGAATTTTAGTAACAGATTCTTGCAATTCCGGAAAATGGAGACAACCCTGTATTTTCTTACTTCTCCAGATAAAGCCAAATATGAAGAGCTTGATATTTCTGGCTTACACTGGTTAGAATTAGGAAATCTGGAAATGAGGCTATTAAAATTTCAAGAAAGCTCTATCTGGAAAAATAAATTCTATGCCCTGCGTGCCACACTTGAGAAGATAGAATCAGGGGACATAGGGTCCCCCTTGGCCTTCACCCATGAGCGGCGGAATTTTCCCAACGGGAATTATGGATTTTTATTTGCCCTTTTTTGTGGCTGAAATAAGAAGATTTTAGAAAAAAGAAGACATCAAATGGTAAGTTATTTTTTATTTACAGGAAGTTAATTTTATTGTTCCACCCTCACTATTTTTAGGGTGTGGGGGTAGGTAGGTCTTTATTAACAAAAATTTGGGTGGGGGGTGACTAGGGGCTTGGGGAGTATTTACACTTAGCCCCCACCTGTCGCCCATGGGTGAGGGCAGGACAATAGGTCCTCTCCCCCATTTTCATTTAGGGCCCACACCCGACGCTCATGGGTGGTTGGTTTGTATTGCGGTTTGGGCACACGGGCTCAAAAATATTTGCCATCACTGCACTACACTCTGAATTGTAGCAAACTAAAATCCAAATGGCAACATTTCAACAAAAAGAAACGATTTGTACAACTTTTAAGGACCAAGCTTCTGGAATAAAAGGGAATCATGACATGTCACACATGTCATGTGTCCTTAAGGGGTTAAAGGGCCACAATAGTGCCTGGAAAACATACTCATTTTCCTGGCACTATAGTGCCCTGAGGGTGCCCCCACCCTCAGGGCACCCCTCCCGCCGGGCTCTAGGGGGTGGAAGAGTTTAAACTTACCTCTTTCTCCAGCGCCGGGCGGGGAACTCTCCTCCTCCTCCAGATTGCCGTCAGGAGCCGCGCGCGCATTCAGCCAGTCCATAGGAAAGCATTATCAATGCTTTACTATGGACACTGGCGTCTTCTCACTGTGAGAAATGTGTGTGATTTAAGTCAAATTTACAGAGCACGAGATAAAACCCTCTAAAGTGAACACACTGTACTGCTTGAAATAAGCTTTTTCACAGCCAGGAGAGTTAAGGCTATTACTGCATGCACAGAAACAAAGATGATTTAACTGCTAAATGGCAGAGAATTGAGCAGTGATACTGAAGGGGTATGATCTATACATCAAAACAGCTTAGTTAAGCTAAAGTTGTTTTGGTGCTTTGAGTATTCTTTTAAGTAATAGCTCCTGTGCATGTTCCTATTGTATAAGCTTACTCACAGAAAGCTAAGACTGAGATTATACTCATAACATATTGCAGTGAAAAAAAATGAAAAGCTGCAGACACTGAGGGACGAAGACAGGTAGTGTGCAGATGAAAGATACTAATTATTTTTTAGCGGAAAAAATATTAATTAAAAATACGTAAATAAGTGAACAACAAACAGTTTAATTTGTCTCGTTCTTGTGTTTCTTTAATATGTGTACCCAAGACCCCCCCCATATATAATTAAATTATGTGCATCAATGAATCTCTTTATAATTCTTTTAGTTGTTTTTCTTTTCCATATAGTCAACTTCTGTGCCATATCCTTCATTCGTGTAACATTTGAAAACTCACAAATATTTGTTGTAGAGACAGAGATGAAGAAGAATAATTTTATTTCCCTATACATTGTATACGTGTGTTTATACATGAAGCTTAAAAAAAGTATAAAGTATCTATTATCGATATAATTTTACATAGTAAAAAATAACAGTGTTTTTTGTTAGAATGTATAAAAAGTGACATTCATGATGAGGTCACCCACAGGTATACCACCTATGTCCTTTACACACATCAATTTGTACATAAAATGTTGGTATTTAACAGTGTATCATTCATTTCAGATTTCAGTCAGAACCATATACCCACCCATTTATATGGTACAATGGGTACATGTTGAACTTATGCATTTTCTCTTTGATGCACAAGGGTTAAGCCTTTAGAGACAGAATTAAGCAGAGTGAAGTAGTTCAAACAAGATAGCTATGTAAACACACGTGAGCAATTGTTTTAAGTAAATGGAACATTCTCTCAACTTTAATACAAGGTCAGGAGTGGAGGTCAGAACAAACAGGATGCCTGTCTATCCATGCGGGGGAGAATTGATGCTTTTCCATTCAGTATACTCTACTAATCTTTTAATATTATCTTATATGTTAAAGTATCAACAATAAAAAAAACATCCTTGCCACATTTGTTAGAAAGTTAGGTATACTTACCTGAAAATATCTCTTGTGGACGCAGCCATGTTCTTTATTCAGCTCCTGGCACTTTGTTCGCCAGGAGCCATATATCCTCGCACATGAGCAACATTACAACACAGAGGTCTATGGAAGATCTTGGGATTCTCTACAGACCATCTTGCATGATGGGCAATCATATGCCCATTATCCACTTCTGTCACTAGCTGCATATATGGGAATTGACAAAGATTGAAAGAGGAAGCTCCGCCTTCTGTCATCCTAGAGTTTGCCTTTAAGACAAAAGAGTCCCTTACTTTGTTCTAAGATATCCTTTGATTGTGTTGGAATTTCATTGATATTTTAACACAGACCTACGTATTTAAGGTCTAATTTTCAAGATTCAGGTTTTGTCAGAATCCCTACTGGAACAGATTTGTAAATGCTTAGATCTTGCAATGTGTGTGTCTTGATGACATGGCTGGGAACTATTGATCTAGATGCATTGGTAGAGCGTTGCTTCCAAGCATTATCAGGAGGTGGACCAATCTTTTTCATTTCATGAAGATCTTCAAATAAAACAATGTTTTAAGTAAAGGGACATGCATCACTTTGAAACAAGTGTCTCATTCATAACCTTTAGTTTTGAATGGGACAGTTGTCCCACTCTGTAGGCTGAAATAAACAAGTAAATGTGATTTTTATTTCATGGTTCTGCTTCTTCTTTCTTATGCCTTCCACACCCATTCTAGGTGGGTGTCCTATCCCTAGGAATGCTGGAAAAGTGCATGAGGCATACCTAGCAGTTTTACATATGGCAACTTCCTGACAGAGGGAGTGTGATCATTATGACTCATGCAGAGCAGGCTCAAGTGTCGGGTTTCTAGCTCTGGCACAATGACGCCCTGTTTCTTTCATTAATAGATTGGTCTGATAGTGACATGTGTGGGTAAGCGAGAGCGGGAAGGCTGAAAATACCTAGCCTTAGTGTGCTCAATAACGCAATCTGACCAAGTTTATTGTAAATTTACAAACATCTCTCTGTACTTTTCAATTTTTTTCTTCCTTTACTTTGGTTTGTATATTTGTTTAAAAGTGTTTGCTTGTTGGTTTAAAAAAATTAAAGTTTTCAAATGATGTATGTCCCTTTTAATAAGGTTTGTATTTCTGAGCGTAACAGAAAATCCCAGTGGAGAAAAACATCTCTGATCCTAGTTAATGAGCATTTGTTTTTAGGATCGATCCATCAACGGAACACAAACTTTAAATTCTGCATGACAATTCTGTGTAACATATATGTACTCTGAATAATACACTACTCACCAGCACAAGTTTGTCACCATCAACTTCTCTCACTAAAGTACTTTCTTTACCATCCCATTTCTGAACGTGCTTCAGTTTGCCATCTTCCAACGTCACCAGGGACTGAAAAAAAAGAAGTTGGTTTTATTCTATTGCTAGTAGTTTAAAAAAATAAAGGACAATTAACCTATTATTTCATTATCAATATAATTTTGTCCAGGGATCTATTCCAAGTAACATCTAATCATTATTTATCAATATTAACACTGGGAGCTGATAGGAAAATTAAACATAATTTCACTGTATGAAACAAGTTCATGTTAGGTCAGTGAGAATGAAAAATAAGGTAGACCATTTTTAACATTCTTTCCATAAGAAGTTACTCGAGCCCCGAAAAAAAAAATATTTGATTTCCAAATACAAAACTGTGAGCCAACCAACCAAATTTTCAGCTTCTACCACTCCTATGCAAAATAGTTTCCATTCCAAAACCTCAGCAGTATCCATCTCTGCTTATTGCTGCCAGGTCCTGATGTCACGAGATAAATCTGTCCTGGCAAAATATATCTTCCTACTGTGCTCACATTCTGATGTGATTTTATTGCTGAGGTGTAGAATATTTTTCATATGAAGTGCAAACAACGCCTTCTACCAAAAACCAAAATGATCGATTCTAACAAAGATTTAATTTTAAGTTCTGACAGTTTGCACTTCATAGAAACGTAGGTTTATTTTTAAAAGTACAGTATAAACCTCCCCCATCCCTCCCTGCAGCATACCCCTCTACTAAACCACAGCACCCCCCTCTACTAAATCCCAGCCCCCTCTACTAAATCCCAGCCCCCTTCTACTAAACCACTGCATCCCCTCTACCACCCTGTGACAAATCTGATCCTCCCGCTGACACACACACAGACACATTGACACACACATACTCACTGACAGACACACACACACACACTCACTAACATACACACACACATACTCACTGACAGACACATACATCAGACACACTAACAGACACACACACACTCACAGACAGAGACACACACACTCACAGACAGACACACACACACTGACAGACTCACATACTTGCTGACACACACACACACTCACTGACAGACACACGCACACACACTAACTGACCGACACACACACACATACTCACTGACAGACACACACACACATACCAACAGACACACACACATACTCACTAACACACACACACTTACACATTCTTGCATACACATTATTTTCTTTATTGCTCCTTACCTTATGGAGCCGATGTGGGACATCTCCCTGGGGTCCTTCCTGCTCCTCACTGCTCTCTCGCGCGGGTTTAGTGATTCTGAGTTCCGGAATATGACGTCATATTCCGACGACCGGCTTCACTTCAAACGGCGTGCGCGAGGGAGCAGTGAGGAGCAGCAACACTGAGCTCCCTTGCTGGCCGCGTAAGTGCTAGCAGAGTAGGCACCTGCAATATGGGGAAAGCAGGTGCCTACTCTGCTATAACACCAGCATGTACTCGCGGCTCGGTGAGTTTGACATGCTTGCTCTACAGGATGGTGCAGGTATTAAAGGTTACTCCCAAAGAAACCTCAATATATACAATAAAATGGGTACTAATACCGCACTCAGACACAATAATTGTGTCTAATAAAGAAAAACATTTTTTATATATTCAAAAGTTTGCCAAATTTATTCAGTGTATATATTTTTTTTTTATGAAAACCGTACAAAAAGTAAAGAATTTATATAATGATAATAATAGCTATACAGAATGGTACAAGAACCACAAAAAGAGATGGTCATTTAATACCATATATGATTCTGACACTCTGCATCTATTTTATACATCTCCTATATACATATCTACAATGATCTAAATAATGCAAAATCAGTCCAGTGCATCCACCAAATATAGATGAATTGTATGATCATGGGACTCCTGCTCAAAAATGATATATTAGATCTCTCTTTAGAGGAAATGTTTAGGAAGGCAGTGCAAGTCACATGCAGGGAGGTGTGACTAGAGCTATATAAACAGTGAATTAACTGAGCATGGAGACTGCAGGGGCACAATCTATACACCAAAACTGCTTCATTAAGCTAAAGTTGTATTGGTGCCCATAGTGTCCCTTTAATATATTGCACATGCTAGCATTTTTCACATCAATATATAAATGAAATTTACGAAAGCCCCTTAAAGTGACTCTAAAGTGTACCTTTGGTCAACAGGAAAACACAGAAACAATTCTAAAATGCAGAAGGGAGGGGAATAATAAAAAGGTCTCACCTTGCATTTTCTATCATCAGCAGTGGTTTCATCAAATTCTTCATCCAGTTTGAATTTGAGCTCTGTGCTCTTGAAGGTACTTTGTGTCTGCACCACAATTAGGTCCCCTTCCTTGGAAATTATAGTTGTGGGTTTGGTGACATTTGCAATTTGCCTGGTGGCAAATCCCACACCTAAACACAGAGGACATATTTAAGATGAACAGCCAGTTCATGCAATGAAAAGCTAGATATTTAAACTCACCGTGTGCTCTATTTCCCAGCACCCATTTCCAATTTGTATTCCTAAATCTATGGTGTCCTGGACCATCTCAAATTTCTGCGGAAGTGCCTCTAGGGCTTTGGCATTTAAATATTGCAATCTAAACATTACCCTTCCTGCAGAATAGTAGTATTTTACATTGCAGGGTTAAAACAAAGGGGACTTTGTTGACATTAGATGGTCTGAGTGCATAGAGATTCCCTTTAAAAAGCAATGTATGTTTCTACCTTGTAACATTACTGTTGTCGGCAAAAAATGCCTATTATTGTGGTTTTATTTATCATCATTACAAACATGCAAGAAAAAAAAAACATACTAATTGCACTATTGGTTTTATATGTTGTTATACCTAATTATTTTAGATATCATTTTGCTTTATCGCCTTTGTTACAGTATTAGTGACATTATTAGAATTTCTAAGCTAATTCATTTAATTGTGTATTATTGGGAATCCAAAGTGAATTTAAACTTTTAGTCCAATGTTGCCAAAAAACAGGTCAGCTGTTTTTAGCTTGGCTGAAAATTTTACATTTGCCTGAATTTGCTTTCAGCAATTCACGCTTTAGTAAATTACCCAGTAAGTTAAAATACCCTAGTTCTAGGACTAAAATGTACTAATGCCAGTGACATGGTGGTGGCATCAGTACCTTCTGGCATTAAGGTGTACTATAACTATAGTCTTAAATAGTAACTATCTTCCAAAAGAAAAAAAAGAAAAAAACTGAATGTATAAATGGCTTGACTCCTCAAACCACGAGAAAGTAAGAAAAATGGTCAAACTGTGCAAAGGTACGTAGATTCCATTAGACCTCATCATCTATGTCATGACCTTGTTCACAATGTCAAAAGACCAATGAAATTAATGTTATCACAGCTAGTACATGTGACTGCTGGCAAAGCTTTATCCTACATTCCTGGCATGAAGGATATGTCAACTGAAAGCACAGTTACGTACATGCATGTTCAAAATGCTAATGTACAGATTCAGTGACAAAAACAAAATAATAATGATAAAAACGTGTAAAAGCAGTTAAATCTTCCTGAAATATGAAGGGGTTATATCTCTAGCTTTGCTTTTATATATAATTAGCTGGACTCTGATAACAAAGGATGTTTTGAGCAGGAGTTTTATTTTACATACTGTGGCTTATCATACTATTAAAAAGCTATACTTGAAAATATGTCATTAGACATAGAAGATAAATACATTTAATATGTATATTAGTGGATTTTAGAACTGGAGCTGAGACCTAAAACCTAATCCCCATGCTATGTCAGTGGGTCTCCACACTCCACTAGTTGTAACAGGCAATCATACCAATTAGGCCTGAGGCAACTGAAAGCTATAAACAGAAGCTGTAGTGACCTTGCTGCCCTCAGTAGTGTTGCTAGACAGCCATGTTTCTGTGAGTGAATAGCTAATATTCTACAGTTTTATCAGGCAGAGCCTGAAAGTGCCTATGCAGAGTATATGTTGAACCCATAGGTTCCAAGCATCTACTGTGAAATCTACAAACTGATCACAGAATGTATTCTGACATCCGAGCGGTTAATTGATTTCACTAATGCAGGGCTTCACAAATCTGCTTGAAATCTAGGAGCCAGCTAAAATAGTAAGGAGCCAGATTTTTCAACGTCAAAAATACAGTTCTTAAAAGGGACACTATAGTCACCAGAACCACTACAGCTTAATGTAGTTGTTTTGAAGTAAACCCTTGCCTTTAGTCTGGGAGATCTATCAAAGTGTTGCTGACATGTCTCTGTTTAATTTTTGGCGCTATTCATTTAATCTGTCAGATTGTTTTCATCTGTTACTTTATTTGTGCCCTGTCTTTTTTTACTATGCACCAACATAAAAGATTTATAAATATTTCTGCTACTTTTCTAGTCAGAAAAGTGGTGGAATGTTTCTGTCACTGTAAATTTGGTGGTCTTCTGAAATGGAATTTTCTTTCAAAACCACTTTTCTTGTGATGTTATAGTAATTATAGGTACATGCACCATATCAATTTTTTTTTTAGATTTAGGATGCCTTTGAGATTAACTTTATGATCCTGGATACAAGTAATTAAAGTCAATTCAAAGGGATTTTATTATAGAGGTACTCTTTGGGTGTGATCTATTTATTTATTTTTCTTATTGGCTGGATATTATACAGTTCAATATGGTGTGGTTGGTAATATTTATGATAACTTTGTGCCAGTTAGACTCATGGATATTCAATATAGTAGATCACATAAATGAATAGTAGATGCAATTTTTATACACTGTGTGGTGTTTTTGTTTAGTTTGAATTAGTGGTGGAGGTAATTCACTATTAATAGGTATTAGTTGGGAAGTATGTGTCCCTATACTGTATTTCCTTTTTTTCACTTACTATGTATGTCCCTATAAGAAATAGTTGGCCTTTTGGTGGGTTTGTTTAATTTTATTTATTTTATTACTTTTTTGTGTCATGTATTGTGACAAATGTGCTATATAGAACCCAATGTTTCAAATTGGATTAGTCTGTTGTCTATTGCTTGGCGCATGCGCGGGATATATTGCTTTACAACAAGAAATAATTTGGATCATACAGGCACCCGTAGTTTGTATTTTGCGTGGTAAGAAAATACTGACACGGAGGTATATCGGGGTGATATGGTCATTCCCTTTATAGTAGAGGTTAGCTCTGCTTATTATTAATTTTTTATGTTTAGTTTTTTCTTTTTATTAATGTGTTACGTGGGTAGCGCTGAGAGACCGCGGATAGTATCGGACAGATTGCCACTAAGTAATATGGAGGGGTGAGCGTCTACGGCGCATACGTACAGGTACTGATGTGATTCATTTATTTATTTATATGATTTTTGTTGATGTAAGGAAAACCTTTATGAGAAAACTACTTATGGGCTCTTACTATATGCTACTTAATAATATTTTTAGATTTTGTGAATAAGACCGGGGTCGGAAATGATGATGTCACTTCCGGTCTCGGGCAGTCACAATCTCACTGATGGCCATCAGGTGTAGATATACGTATATAAGGGATTTCTGGGTGAGTGTTTGATATAGCTACCCTTGATAAAGGCTACCAGGAGGAGCCGAAACATTGGGGGGTTTTTGTTTTTTGACTCGTGTTTCTGCCCGATTAGGCTTGTGGAGTGTGGTAAATATTTATTTCTGTATATTGTCTGCCTAATGAGTCACTTATTGCTGTATTAATATGGTATTTGTACTTGTGATGTAATAAATACAGATAGAGACTTTTTTGTGGTCTTTTGGTGTGCATTCTGTGTTTGTTTATTATTGGTTATATTGGTATTTTAGGGAGTATGGTTCTAGAATAGCACCCTATCAACTGGTTATAATTGTATTGTGAAGTATTCTCTCCGTACTTTGTATATTATAAAACCACTTTTCTTAACACTGATAAATATTACTGAGTCAGAATGCTGTCAAATATTTGACAAAAAAAGTCACTGTCAAATATTTTATAAAAAAAGAATAAAATAGAAACAGAATATCATGGTGCCCTATGAAGGAACTTTAACATTTATAAATAAAATAAATTTTTTGGAAATTAAAAAAATAAATAAAAGCGTGTACAGGTATTGGAAACAAGATAGAGTGTTACATTTCCTGCTTATGTTTGATAGATGTTTAGAAATAGAGAAGGGGAAAATGAGGACTCAGCACAAGCAAGAAAAGGATAAACAGCGGCAGAACAAGAAAAAAAAAAATCACTCTCCACATATACGCCTCTAGCGCAAACCACAAAAAAACGTGTCAGAAAAAAACGTAGGTGACGGAAAGGGAAAATGGAAAGTGGACAAAGGAGCATAGTAAAATGATATGATGTCAGTAAGTATACTCTTTAATCAATGCATTTGCTGATTATTTTGCCAGCATTAGATATTATTATTAGCAGTAGTATTTATAAAGCATCAACAAATTCCGTAGCTTTGTACAATAGATGGACTAACAGACATGTATTTGCAATAAGACGAGTTGGACACACAGGAACAGACTGTCAGGATTACTAATTGATCCAGCACATAGAATTGTGTCACACCTAGGACTAAAAGGTCAAGTATTACCGGGCCTTAGAATGGCCAGACTTAACATACCAAAGAATAGTCAGGATACTTGCCAAGGTCGGGGGATACAGAATGGGACACAACGATAAGGGAAAGCCATAAGTCAGAGATACCAGAATACAGGGAAGTCAAACAAAGCCAAAGTCAATAACCAGAAATAAACGCTCAGGAACACATTCTCGGACAACTGCTATGGGAAACCACGACAGGGCAATGAGGAAAAGTAGAATCATGTTTAAATAAGCCCTTAACAACTTTGATTGGCCAAAATCGGCCTTTGACTCCAAAGTGTACGAGCGCTTGGCTCCCGCGAGACGTCACACGCACGCCGAAGTCGTCATCAACGTGAGGCTATAATTGGGTGTGGTGTTAAATGCAGTTTTCCACTCATGATTTTCTTTAATCCTAACCAAATTGTACACACTCCTGAGGTCAAGTTTAGTAAAGACTTTAGCACCCTGGAGTCTGTCAAACAATTCGGAAATGAGGGGAATGGGGTAGGCATTTTCTCTGAAAAGGAAGTGTTTATTGGGAAATTACATTCAAATGTGTGGCTTACAAATCAATATGTTGTTCATGGTTAAAACAAACACCAATACATTATCAGCAGCAAATCTGATATCACAGCTAGAACCTGTGAATAAAGGACAACTGTGTATCAATAGTAATAAAGCATCCCACTGAGAAAACCAGTAGACGGCAACAAACATATAATACATCTACAATTTAACTTGAGTTAACTGATAACTTGAATGGGGCTTAGGAGGTAAATTTCCACCTTAAAGCACATGTGTCAGGTTTTCCGTATTTCATAAAGATGCTGACAGCAATTAAATTTCATTGAAATCCCAATGCCACCGAAATATACCACAAGAAAAAAATAGTTGCTACTTTGTCTCATGGACTTTGTCTGTCTACTCTGGTTCCGAATAATCACAAAAGAAAACAGTATATTACATAGTACATTATATCTCTTTGGTCTTTTGATATTTTGTTTAAGGGGTTACTCCAAGCACCTTGACCACTTCAGTGATTTTAAGTGGTCATGGTGCCTGGAGTCTGCATGTGCAATGGTTTGCTATCAAAGGCTGCACATACATAATTTAACCTCTCTGCTGGCAGAGGTGTAACTCCACTTCATGCAGCATCATTTGGTGTAGAGTCAGCCCGGAAACAAGAGTTCTCAATTCTGTGCATATTGGGTATCTGGCAGCAGGCATCCGATAGTGGCACAAACCTCCACCCTGCCTTGCCACCGATGTCCTCCCCTGGCAGTGAATGAGAATGACATCAGTGGAGGAGAACTTGAATATTTGTAACATACCAGATCAAGATGTTACATCTCCCACAATTCACAGGTAAAACTGCCACTGCGGCATATTCAGATTGTTTACCCCATTTACTTGACAGTCCACTCCCTTGCCACAAAATGACTTTCAATCCAATTGATTATGAATAAAAAAAGTTGCCAGTTCTGATAACCAATCCATTACTGCACAATCCATAAAATCCACCACGTCCTCCCCTTAGCTAATCCTCTCCCAGCTGCTAGGAGTATCATCAGTAAAAGAGGAGCAGGCTCTGGTGAGAACTTGGCCTCCGCACTGTAAAAGAGATAAGTTTATGATTTTATTTGTTTTTTTTACAAAATGTATTTAAGGTTTGGTGGGGGGAACAGGAGGAAGGTAGACAGCTTGGGTGTTGGAGGCAGTTTGCACAGGTGAGTAAAAGACAGTGGCCTATTGACTGCAATTAAACCACTGCTATGTACAGCTCATACATGAATGACTGCAATTATATTTATCAAGGAACAGCTAGGGAAGGGAAATAATTCACTCATATGCATGCTCAGCTTCTACTCCTGATCCGCACACCCTATTTCACCCATTTTCATTCCCAGCTTCAAACCCAGATTCAGACACACTAATTCATCTATAAGAAATCACCAACATCTCCATCTATTAAATATACCCCCATGCACATGATCACGGCCCTTCCCCGACTGACCCACCGGATCTTACTTTACCCACCCTTTACAAACCACAGACCAGGGGGAACAGGAGGAAGGTAGACAGCTTGGGTGTTGGAGGCAGTTTGCACAGGTGAGTAAAAGACAGTGGCCTATTGACTGCAATTAAACCACTGCTATGTACAGCTCATACATGAATGACTGCAATTATATTTATCAAGGAACAGCTAGGGAAGGGAAATAATGGTCAGTAGACAAGAGATTTCCTACATTGAATGCAATAATTCTGCTTTTGAATGCAAGTTTGATTTTAGTAACATGTTATACTGCAACTAAAATCAGCTGTGGATCATGTAAATTATAAATATACAATAAATACACATTGAATTTCTTATGGAGATATAGGATGCAATGTTAAAGGCACACTACAACCATTTTTGCGTAGGTTACTGTGTAAGACCCATCAATTTGCTTCTTTGTCTACATAGAAACAGCCTAGGGCAGTGTGAGTTGCTGGGTGTTGTTAACCTTGTTGTCAACGGTTACATTTTGAAAGAAAAAAAAGATCAGGCTGGTACAGAAAATGGGGTTATTCACAAAAAAATGGATTGTTGTAAATTTCAGATTTGAAGTTACAATAGCTGACCTGAAAAGAGAGCCATGGAGGTTTTGACCAATTTACACCACAATTTCAAATTTACTTGAACACTCAAAAACACCCAAACATAAAGCACCGTGGGGTTAAGGTAATTTGCACTGGTCACTGAACTAATGTCTGGAAATAATGTAAGCTCACTCCCTGCTTTAAATAGTACAGGAAGTTTCAATGGGTCTTATTATTCCTACATTGTTGCAGTGCAAATAATGAACAAGATTGCTATAGCAATTTTAAATATCTATATTTTAGAAATATATGATTTAACTGTATTTACTGTATGTGAGCATTATGTTCAAATGCAGATATTCTTTCTACATGTTGTTGCAATTTTTAATGAGCTAAATGACTAATGCCTATGCCTAAAATGTCTTTTTGAATACCTTTTAGTGACATATTTGACCATTTTTATTTATTTTTGTTACCTCTACTATATATGAGAAAAATAGCATTTTTTATTTTATACTAACTAGTAATGCATTTCAGACCCTGTGTGAAATATTGCAAAATAAAGGACACAGTATACTGACTAAAGCTTTTAATTTCCTAAATAGGTTTTTTTAAGACTGAATGCATACATGAAAAATAATAAATGTGCAAATTTAAATTATTTTTTTAAATTTGTCTGCAAAGCAATCTACCCAGAAAATACTAAACTATGACATATGTATATGCTACCTATACATCCCTTCAAATACATGTTATGTTAGTATTTTTTCCCCAGTCAAAAAAGTACCTGGTTGTGCACGGGTTAAACATCTATTGAATATTTAGATGGTTAAATGTGTTATTTGAATACCCCAGATGAGAAGCCTTGTTTGTGACAATATTTTTGTCCAAGTAATTTTCTTTAATAAAGGCAGTACAATTTACAGATTACAATAAATCATTAGATTATTTTTCTTCTACTCAAAAGTTCACTGCATTGTTGCATTCTTCCTATAATATATAATAATAACATAATAATAATTCGTCCTCTTCTTATCCAGATGCCCCTCCTCCTCTCTTTCTCCATGTGCATTTCCCAGCCTCCACCCCGATCTATTTTACGCCAATATATCCATCATATGCACTCTCAACCCCCACCCCTGATCCAAACATCCTAATTCACCATGCACATTTACAGCTCCCAACGTATTCCCAGCCCCCACTCCTCATCCAGACACGCTAATCACTCATATGCACTGCAAGCCCCCACTCCTCATCCAGACACCTTAAATCACCCATGTACATTCACAGCCCCCATGACTGAAACAAATACTCTTATTCACTCATATGCATGCTCAGCTTCTACTCCTGATCCGCACACCCTATTTCACCCATTTTCATTCCCAGCTTCAAACCCAGATCCAGACACACTAATTCATCTATAAGAAATCACCAGCATCTCCATCTATTAAATATACCCCCATGCACATGATCACGGCCCTTCCCCGACTGACCCACCGGATCTTACTTTACCCACCCTTTACAAACCACAGACCACCTCATCTTAATTTTTCCATCTTTCCATGACCACAGACCAACTCATCTTAATTCACTCACCCTTTAACAACCGCATACCACCTCATCTTAATATACCCATCCTTTAACAACCGCATGAGGTGTCATCTTAATATACCCATCCTTTAACAACCGCATACCACCTCATCTTAATATACCCATCCTTTAACAACCTCATCTTAATTTACCCATCCTTTAACAACCTCATACCACCTCATCTTAATTTACCCATCCTTTACAACCACAGACCACCTCATCTCAATTTATCCATCTTTTCATAACCACACACCACCTCCTCACCTTAATATACCCAGCTTTCTATAACCACGTGGTGATCTTCTCACTGAGTACCTATATAGCTAACATAGCATTCCATATGTCTGTAACTCTTGTTCCATGTTACAGTCTGTCTATGTAACGCCTTCTCCCTATCTCTTAACACATTATATAATGGCACACACCAATAGCTTTACTATATTCTATAACCGGAAACATACCAATAGCTTTCATGTACTCGTCAAACTGCTTGCTATCCACGAGCTTCCAGGTTCCTACAAAGCAGTCCACCATGGTAACAGAGAGAGTGAACCAGCAGCTGCAGACAGAGCTAAGCGATGCCGTCTCCTGTCTTTATATATCAGTATATGGAGAGCCCTCGCTATGATCACATGGGCAATGCTGTCTGCGGTCACACAGCTCCTCCCAGGCAGACACACGATATGCTCCATTTACAATTCTTCAACATTGGACACTGCTTGGTATTGGGACACATAGCTACTGTACGTGTCTTTTATTGACTTTACTGCTGAATGCAGCATTAGAGAGAGACTCTCATTGAAAAAGAGAAACGTGGGTCTTTTCTAATGTATGCAATTTAATAAGTGTACAATCAGAAATTTGCACGTTTCTTTGTCCAATTTTTGTAAAAATATTTGAAACCAACAAGCAAATTACAAAAATAAATAAATAAATATGTAGCATGGATGATGCAGGGTAAACTCCCCACATTGGATGTGAATGCTACACAGCTATGTCTGAATGCAGTGGAACTTCCCTTAGCAAACACTTATGGGAGAACGTTCTGTGGATCAGTCACCATGGACAGCAATAGAATGCGCAAATGACTGTTCCACTTTAGATCTGGCAAGGGAATTTTATGGCAAGGCAGGAGGCTTCATATTTGCTTATCTTTCTTTACTGAAACCTCCAGCAGCAAAGAAACAGTTAACAAAAGATAAATACATTGTATTATTATTACTTGTTATACAAAATTTTAAAACTTTAATAAAAATTATTTGAAAAAAGATAAATACAAATCAACCAATCAGAGAGCATGACAATAGTATGTATTGTGATCAGGATCCTCCCAACTCCTCTTTCTTTGCTGCTTGCCTCCCAGGTGAGTCTATTCTAATTATAGTCTCCTACATTTTGACTTTTAGTCTTATTTGATATATTTGTGTTCTTATATTTTATATTATATTTGTTTTTCCTTATAAACCTTTAACTAACCACCTATAAGTACTTGTTAAATTATTGTCCATCCACTTTTACTGTTTGGCAGTTATACTGCTCCCCTATCCTCTGCTGGGGTCTGGCACTCTACATATTGTGCCTGCTCCCCCTCTGGAGCTCCACTGCCACAGTGCTAGTCAGCGGCGGCATTTTTTACTCTCATTCCAGGCCTAACCCCTGCAGCTATCACATTAGGCTGTCAGAAGTCCAACCAGCCCATGTGTACGCTTCATTTTGTGACGCAAAGGCTTTTCCCGCCCTTTTTTGTTTGCGGCGGCCATCGTACGCTCGTGCTGCACTTTCCTGCCTTTTTGCTATTTGTAAAATGCAGAATACTACAGGACGGTTGCAAGCTACACACCTTTGGAACTTTGCTCTGTAATGGCCTGAATAGCACTCCATACCCCTCACCAACAAACAGAGCTATACCGTACTCTTCTATCTCTAAGGCACTGAGGTAGTGCAATTTTTCTCGGTGGTCCATGTGAGGTGAACTACCATGTTGGTTTGGCATAAGACCCAGGACTACTACCGGACTGAGATCTACAGCCATCCCCATAAAGTTCCTCAACGAAAGGCCTCCATTAAGCTACAGCAAGTGATCCAAGACAGGCCAGAATTACAATTAAAGAATTGCTAAGGTGAATTTTTCTTTCCATCCACTGGAGAAAGGTGCTTGTTCTGACCGGTCTTCCCGAAACGGTGGAGGTCACTGGTCTTTCTCTGTGTACTGCCGACCAGTGGTGCTGGTGTTCTGTTCAGACTGTGCTCGCATGACAACAGTCGGTGAGCTCCAGCTTGCATATCCATTGCTAAGAAGAAAACTGAAATCTGGGTGTGAGCATGTTTTGCTGTGCAATGTTTCGAGGCACCAGGATTGCAACACCTGAAATGTTTTTATAGAATTGGGCCGAACCTCTATGGACACGGGGGGTGGGGGGGTGGGGAGCAGGGGGGCTGCGGAGTCTCCCTGTGTTTCAGCGGAGCCTGACGGGGACTAAGTCTATATATAATATGTATATATATCTTATATATATATATAAGGTCATACTAAGTGTATTTTTATATTTATATATGCATATATTAATATAAAAATAAACTTATATTTAAATTACACATGTATATATATATATATATATATATATATATATATATAATATATATATATAATAACTATATATTGTATATATATTGTTATGGCACCCCCAGGCATAAAAGGGTTAAACCGCCGTTTAGTAGATCTTCCCTTCCAGAGACACAGGCACAGCTACTGCAGAACACCAAACTCTCGAACTGAATACAAGGGAATGCTCCAAACTCCCGAACTGCATACAAAGTAGCACTCCAAACTCCTGAACTGGAACCTCACGAATAGCTGCTAGCAGACATACAGGAAAAGCACAAGCGGCTTACACTCCTGGCAATCAGTCTCTAACAGCATACAGTAAATCCCCCCAAAGACGAGACAGAGCTCCGTGTTGAGGGTCAAGCAGTGGTCTGATTTATTCAGGGCTACCTGCCCAGTATTTATGCAGGTCTCCCACCTGGTGGACACTCCCATAGGGGACCAGATGGGAGACTGTAACACAGACAGACATGTATCACATTCAGACATACAGAAGTAAAACATCCCCACAATGCATCCTAATTTCCCTCCCTCTATCCTGGAGATAATTGGGAAGTAATCCAATTATCTCCTAGGACAGAGGCAAATCGCCATTATACACGTGGGGACACAAAGACAGTAAAATACTTTAAAATATACAAAGTTACATTTAATACATAAAATACAGACATGTCACATATCCCCAGATAGCTGGGATCTGAGCGCACATAACTACCGAATCGCGCTCACATCCTATACACACAGTTCAATTGCCATGGAGCCAAAGTCTTTTATTACACAAATAGGCTCCATGGCATAACTATCTGGGTTAACCTATTCACATAGAAAAAGTCCCGATCAATCCAGCGTTCGTCTAAACAGCCACGAATAGAAGCAGGGAAGGCTGGAGGCTCAGCGGTGTCTGCACGTAAAAGTGTCCGCTTTTAGTGCACTGATTCCGGGCTGAGCACCGCTGGCTGTCCGGGGAGCTCCATAACACTGCCACCTAGCGGCTGCTAAGTGTAACCGCAGCCACCCAGTAACAGTCAATTAAGCTGCGGTTAACCGCAGCTACTGGGTGGTCAATTGACGGCACACGCTAGCTTCAGGGAGGTGAATTGAAGGCACACACCAGCTTCCCGGTGGTCGCACCTTCGGTATTTTGTTCGGTAGATAAAATCTACCGAACGCCCTGGCAGAAAGGCAAGAATAAGCCTTTCTGCAGGGAAAATAAAGTATTTTAAAAGTCTGGTCCATAGTCTAAAGGGAGCAGGCAGGCAACCAGGCTCCTCCAATGCAATGTGTCGAGATTGCTCTCGTCACATATATATATTATTATAAAATATAAATAATATGTAAATAAAAATAAATAAAAAAAATGTAATTTTTGTTTTATTAATTAAAAAAAAAATTATATATACATATGTCATTTTATTCTAACGGTATTTTGATATTTATATCAAAATACACTTAGAATGAAATGATATATATATCTATGTATAAATAAATAAAAATAATCCGAAATATACATATGTCCATATATATAATTATATAAATAATTTCAGAAATATACACGTAGACTTCAAATATATAAATATGTACCGTATATACTCGAGTATAAGCCGACCCGAATATAAGCCGAGGACCCTAATTTTACCACAAAAAACTGTGAAAACTTATTGACTCGAGTATAAGCCTAGGGTGGGAAATGCAGCAGCTACTGGTAAATTTCTAAATTAAATTAGATCCCAATAAAATTACATTAATTGAATATTTATTTACAGTGTGTGTATAGAATGAATGCAGAGTGTGTTTTTGTGTGTGTATATAATGAATGCAGAGTGTGTGTTTGTGTGTGTATATATAATGAATGCAGTGTGTTTGTGTGTTGTGTGTGTATATAATGCAGTGTGTATATAATGCAGTGTGTGTGTTTGTGCAGTGTGTGTAAACTGGATGAGGGGAGGGCATTTTTATTTTAATTTTTTTATTTTATTATTATTTTAATATTATATTATTATTTTAATATTATATTATTTTAATAATATTATTATTTTAATATTTGCATTATTTTTTTTAAATGTTTTTTGTCCCCCCTCCCTGCTTGTTGCATGGTCAGAGAGGGGGAACAAAAAATAATTTTTAAAAAAATAATGCAAATATTAAAATAATAATAATATAATAATAAAATAATATTAAAATAATATAATATTAAAATAATAATATTATTTTATTATTATTTTAATATTTGCATTTTTTTAAAAATGTTTTTTTGTCCCCCCTCCCTGGCCAGGCAACAAGCAGGGAGGGGGGACAAAAAACATTTAAAAAAAAAATGCAAATATTAAAATAATGATAATAAAATAATATTAAAATAATAAAATAATATTAAAATAATAAAATATTAAAATAATAATATTTTATTATTATATTATTATTATTTTAATATTTGCATTATTTTTTTAAAATGTTTTTTGTCCCCCCTCCCTGGCCAGGCAACAAGCAGGGAGGGGGGACAAAAAAACATTTAAAAATAATATTAAATCCCTGGTGGTCCAGTGGCATTGGCAGTTCAGTGGGGGAGGCTGACAGCGAGCTGTTACCTTCCTGCAGCTCCTGTCAGACTTACACTGTGAGCAGAACGGAGCTGACCGAGGAGCTGCACGGAGGAGGAGGGAGCTGACAGGAGCTGCAGGAAATGTAAGTAACAGCTCGCTGTCAGCCTCCAACAGGACCGCAGGGCTTGTAATGAGCCCGACGGTCCTGGTCTGTATTATGGCAATGTAAATTGCCATAATACAGACTGACTCAAGTATAAGCCGAGTTTGGGTTTTTCAGCACAAAAAATGTGCCAAAAAACTCGGCTTATACTCGAGTATATACGGTATATATATTTAAATTCTACGTGCATATTTATGTAATATTTTTAAATAATTAAGTAATTTTATTGATTGCAATTTGAAGGACATGCCTGACAACACATCTATGACACCCTAAAACCTGTACATGGGTGGTACTGTTTTACTTAGGAGATTTTGTTGAACACAAATATTAGTCTTTCAAAACAGTAAAACATATCACAGCGATGATATTGTCAGTGAAAGTTTTTTGCATTTTTAACACACAAATGGCACTTTCGCTGATGATATTATTGCTGTGATACGTTTTACTGTTCTGAAACACTAATATTTGTGTTCAGCGAATTCTCCCAAGTATAACCGTACCCCACATGTAGAGGTTTTATAGTGTTTTTTAAAGTTATAAGGCTTGATTTTACCTTTTTTTTTTTCAATTGAAATTTGTCAGATTGGTTAGGTTGCCTTTAAGAACGTATGGTAGTTCAGAAATGAGAATTACCCCCATGATGGCATACCATTTGCAAAAGAAGACAACCCAAGGTATTGCAAATGGGGTATGTTCAGCCTTATTTAGTAGCCACTTAGTCACAAACACTGGCCAAAGTTAGCATTTTTTGCATTTTTAACACACAAACAAATATAAATGCTAACTTTGGGCAGTGTTTGTGACTAAGTGGCTACTAAAAAAGACTGGACATACCCCATATTGAATACCCTGGGTTGTCTACTTTAAAAAAATATGTACATGTGAGGTGTGATTCGGGGATTTATGACAGATAACAGTGTTACAATGTCACTATTGATATATTTAAAAAAATATATATATTGAAACAGCAATTTCCTACTTCTACCTATAGCCCTACAACTTGCAAAAAAAAAAAAAGCATGTAAACACTGGGTGTTTTTAAACTCAGGACAAAATTTTGAATTGATTTTTCAAGTAAAAGTCCAAAAACATGTTTTTTTTCAATTTTTCACCACGTTTTATTATTTTTTTTAAAGTAAAATATATGACATGATAAAAAAAATATTGGTATGTAAAGAAAGCTCTTCTTGTCCTGAAAAACACAATATATAATTTGTATGTGAACCGTAAATGAGAGAGCGGAAAATTACAGCTAAACACAAACACAACAAAAGTGTTAAAACCGCTCTGGTCCTTAACGTACAACATGGTTAACCCCACTTTATTTACGTTGGGTGGCCCCCACTTATTATTCATCGTGTGATATTACAGAAAAATAAACATACATTACAAGACAATAGTGTTAAAGACTCATCTAATTTCAATCTCAGGTTGTGGAATATACCTAAAGTACGCATATGATTTCCAACGGCCCAGCCTTTTAATAATTTGTGTAGAAGTGTTGTGACTACTTGCTGCGGAAACTGCACCTATGCGAAAATAGTGTCCTAAGAAAGAAGTCGGATAGTAACCTAACTAAAAGAATCCTAATGTATAGGATAAACTTAAATGTGCAAGAAAAGCAGGGGGAAAATCAGGAGATTTATCTTCAATGGACTTGGTGAGATTATCTAAGACTTTTACTGGACACCATTTAGAACAAGACGGATAGAACAGAATTTCCGCTGGGGACCTGTTTGATTAGTTTTAGATTGTGCGAGAGAAAGAGTCTAGAAATCATTACATTTTATTAACTCTTGTTTTTTTAGACATATACTAGAATCTTAGACAACCATAAAACACTAAATAGTCTGCTGTTTTTTTTATTTTTTTTAATTTGTATTTTATTCGAGTTTTAAGGCTCAAAATGCATCGTAGTATGTAAAAGAAAAAAAATAACACAGTATAGTGACATAAAAGAAAGTAACACAATAAATTTACATCTGGTGGCATTTGAGTCGCCAGGCATCTGTGTGTGACCTGTGTGGTCCCTGGGACATGCATCTGCCTAACTATCCTTACTAAGTGCTTACACGACAGGTTGGGTTCTGGTGCGCCTTTGGCATTGCATACTATCTAGTTATCTTGAGTGTGTATATACAGTGAGAGAGCTCCTGGTGGGGTGATGTGTCTATGGTGTGGTGTGTGTGGGACCCTTCAGGGTGGTGCTCGAGGGATAGAGGTGGGTTAGGTGTGCTAGGGGAGGGCAGAGGCTCATTCAACCATAATTGTGAACGTGTTGGCTACAGTTGTGCTCTATCTTGGCTTCGTTGGTGCTAGCCCGCTTTTGTGTGCCTGTTTTGCCCTAGCTTCTCCGCCCCTGTGCTGTATCATGTCCCCAGTGGGCAGGTTTAGTTTCTGGAAGAATGCCACTCGGTCGTCTACAGAGGTCAGGGTGTGCATCTGGTCCTCTCTTTGGACCTGCAGTGAGCCATCTGCACTTTCTCCATGATCTCACGCAGGGCCGCCATCAGAAATTTTGGGGCCCCTAACACAGCTCAAGGTCTGGGGCCCCCTTCAAGCCTGCCTCCAAATCCCGCTCACAGGAATACACACACACTAACAGATACAAATACTGAAACAGACATACACACATGCATAGGGAGATACTGACACACACACACACATATACATGCAGACATACATACTAACAAACATATATACATACACATACTGCATGCTGATATATATACATACATACTGACAGGCATACATACATACAGACACGCACTGGCATACATACACACATACACTGGCATACACACATACACTGGCACACACACTGGCACTCATACACTGGCATACACACTGGCATACACACACATACACTGGCATACATACACACATACACTGGCATACATACACACACTGGCATACACACACATACTGGCAGACACTGGTATACACACAGGCATACATACACTGGCATACACACATACATACACACACACACATACACTGGCATACACACATACATACACTGGCATACATACACACTGGCATACACACACACTGGCATACACACATACACACACTGGCATACATACACACACTGGCATACACACACTGGCATACACACACACATACACACACTGGCGTACATACACACATACACACACACACACTCATACACACACAGGCACACATACACACATCCATACACACACTGGCATACACACAGACATACACACACTGGCATACACACATACACCTCATCCCCAGCCACCCTCCTCTCTTCCTTACCATTTCATTGCAGGAGGGTGGCTGGGGATGATGGGCATCGGCTGCCTCTCCTCAGGCTGCGTCCTCCTTCCCGCACGGAGTAAAGTGGGAGGAAGTGACTGGACGTCACTTCCTCCCAGCAGCATTTGCTTCCGACTGCATTTTTTTTTTTAAAGGGTCCCGGTCGCGCTATTACAGTGCTGATCAGGCCCCTGAAGATAATAAGGTCCATTGGGTGGCCCTAAATGATTGGGCCACCTGATGGGCCCCATCAGCGTGTGGGCCCCGGTGCAGATGCACCAGCGGCAGTTCCGCTGATCCACGAGGGGCCCGGGCGGCCGGGCCCCCCAGGGCGGCCGGGCCCGTGACAATTGTCACGGTTGTCATGCCCTGATGGCGGCCCTGATCTCACGTACTCTCCACCTTCTACGAGTTCAGGGTGTCCAGATAGTCCTAATAACGCCATTATGGCAAGCACAGTCATGGTTCCCAACCCTCCTGGACATGTCAAATAGATCTCCCTCTGCTGTTACCTCGTTATCAGGATCTACTCCGGAATCCAGCAGACGAATTCCATCCACTCGCTCGTCAGGGTCATCTACGGCTCCTTGCCTGTACCGTTTCAGGGGATCCTGGCATGTCACAGGACTTGTCGAACACGGCTTAATCACTCTTATGGGACTCGACAAGCCTACATCTCCGCTTGCAGATTTGGGTCTGCTGGTGTGTGGGAAGGAACACTGATACAGTTTCAGCATCTCACACACACATTTTGAATGTCCTCTCATCCCTGTATGATCAAGGCAAATCCTATCGCTCTATCTTCAGATCTGCCAATTCAGCCGCTCATGCCCCAATTGATAATTCACCTGTGGGTAAACACCCATCTATTTGCAAGCTTTTACGAGGCATTCCTCTGGCCAGACCCCCTGCTCCTAGATATTCCAAGTTTTGGGATGTCACCCAGGTTTTTTCCTTTTTGGAAGCTTGACACCCCAATAATGCGCTTTCCGTGCGCCAGATTTCCGCTAAGGTGGAACTTCTTTTCTGTTTAGTGTCCTTTTGTCAAGTTTTTGACATTCGAGCTTTTGATTTCCACTCAGTTACTTTTGCCCTGGAGGGGGTGCACTTTACCATTACGAGACGTACTAAAGTTAGTTCGTCATCGGTTTTCTATAACAATTTTACGGATAGACCTTCCCTCTGCGTGGCTCGATGCGTTCGCCAATTCATCTCTCTTACAACTCCACTCAGAGCACCCTCGTGTCCTCTATTCATGTCATATGTCTGACTTCATAAACCAGCCTCCTGCCTGACTATTGCCCATTGGATTAGGTGGCTACTCACTCTAGCAGGGATTGACCCCTCTTTTGGTGCTCATTCAGTCAGAGGTGCGGCTGCATCTTCTGCCTTGGGCGCAGGAGGTTCTCTGACCGACATCTTATCCTTGGCAGATTCGTCTAGGGAAGCTACTTTCAGGACCTTCTATTTCAGACCTGTGTCACATGCTTCTCTATCTATGATTTCTCAGTTTTAAAATAGCAAATATTAAGCCTCCTGTCTTGCCATAAAATAAGGGATTATTTTAGCTTCGTGACCGAATAATCTAAATGTTATTAAAGACAGGAGGCGAATATTTTCCCTCCCTTCTGCTCTTCCCACCATAAGCGAATTTTTTCTGAACTTAACACATTTGTTTACAGATTTCTATTTGTCCTGTTGCATTTTAAGCCATTTATGACAAGACCTTGTAGTGTTACATATATCCATGTTGCCTGTTTAACTCTATTTGGTTTAATTAGAGTACTAATACATTAGTCTTTCCTATTTAAATCTATTTTGATTTTTTTTGTATATTAATATATTAGCTATGTTATACTAACATAGGCGTTAGCTTTATCAGGATTTTATATCTAACCCACGAACTAGGACACTGTATTGGTTTTTCTTGTACCAATAAACCATACTTTCACAATGTCTCTTCTTTCCATTGTGAAAATCCATCCACTTTATTACATGGATCCCTCTTCAGTTCATAGTTTACTTGGTTGACCAATCGACTGCATTTACCTGTATACTGTTATCGTTTACATGGTTGACTCTACTGCGATTCAGGAAAAGAAAGAGGAGTTGGGAGGAGCCTAATTACAATACATACTACTGTCATGCTCTCTGATTGGTTGATTTCTATTTATCTATTGTTAACTGTTTCTTTGCTGCTGGAGGTTTCAGTAAAGAAAGATAAGCAAATATTCACCTCCTGTCTTTAATAAAATTTAGATTATTCGGTCACGAAGCTAGAATAATCCCTAATTGCAATTCAACATAGTAGCTACAAGTCATGATTTGGCCAGAAAACATACCAAAAACCACAAGAAAACTTTGGATGTTCACAATTTTGGACTCCACTTTTGCGACTCCTTTCTCAAGGGCACTTTGAAATTATGGCATGCACTGGCTGGTTGTCCTAACCTTTGTCCCAGTTATGCTGGTGCTGTTATACACATGAGCATAATGGAAACACTTCAGTAAGAGTGTGATCAACATCTTAGATGTCTGCAGTCAGATGTGATGTTAAAATAGTAACCAATATATAATGTGGACAAAGTGCAACATTATTGTCTGGGTAAGAATTGCTAACAAATATTTGAGGCCATAGTTCAATACCCAGATTTAGCTTGATTATCCCTCAAATTGGTGTGTGTTTAGTGATAATTTATCAAATAGTGAAGTGTCTTTCGGGTTAAAAGGTTACTCCAACCAAAAACTAGTGTTTTCATAAACTATCTGGCAGTCCCCTTCATACATACATATATATATATATACACATATGATCTAAGTACTTTTAATACATTTTAAAACTACATTTTAAACAAATTATATACCAGTTTTAATTTGTTCTAACTGTATTTTCATATTAATATACATATATATTAAATTAAAAATACATTTAGCATGATGTTATATATACATATACATATATATATATATATATATATATATACACACATACACACACACACACACACACACATATATACGTATGTATTGCGGTAACAGCTAACAGTATTGATATACATTCACAGTTAAAATACCATGCAGAACTTAAAAAATAACAGTTCTTAATTTCTCAATTTTGAAAAATAATGTATTCATATTAAATTATGTTTAATATACAAATATTTGATATGACATAAAAGCCCTGTTTCTCCTGAACAAAATGATATATGATAAGTGTGGGTGCACATAATATGAAAGATGTGAATTACGCCTGAACAGACATATCGCCAAATTCAAGGATTTGTTTACGTTTTGTTTTGATCGCAACTTATACAACTGCCTCATTCCTTAAGGGGTTAATTATAAAAAAAAAAAAACACGTATGAAATACAGAAACAGTAGGTGGAGATGGCCCTGCACAAGCAAGCTTACAATCTAAAGTTAGTAAATAGAAAAATGCACCATATTATTCCCACATTTTGCGTGACTCAGTGAATAAGCCTATAATATTAGGAAGTGTTCCTGGATTTTTTTAACGTTTTAACCCCAAATGTAATGACAATGCATGTGACTGCATTGAGTATACTGCAATTTTTACTAATACTCAGTGGAAGTTGTCATCTGTTCCACTGAGACATTATGAGTGATAAATATGAACTAGTGCAGTGGTCTTCAACCGGTGGTTTGCGGACTGGCACCGGACCGCAAAAATTTATTGCAGATCCATGAAAGCTTTCACCCAACTATACCACTACAGTATAGT